CAAACTTAACAATGGCTTACTTTTGTCCATAGTCCTATCAGGAAATTTTGTACAACTATTGTTAATATGAAATAAAGGAGACAATGTAACATGCTTCTTATAATTATAGTTAAAAACTTTCTCAATGCGAACTTGGCCCTTTTTCTTCTCTTTTAATGTCAAATGACTCCACACTTTTGAATAATTTTTGCTTGATTTTTGATTTGACTTTTTTCTCCTGTTTTTCTATTTTATCGGCCAAAGTACTAGTCTCCTTCACACGTTTCCACTTCGGAGTTTCCAAGAACCTCATTTCCAAGTGCCTACTTTCGTTGTTCAAAAGACAATATAAAGAGGGTGGTTGATTGACTGTTTTGGTTCTGCCTTTTCATTATGTTCTCCACTCAAGAGTGGGGCTTGTTTGTAAAGTTTCAGAGGAATCATTGTGTCTTTGATTATGTGCATGTCAAAAGTTGATTAGTTGTGAGAAGGTCACAGAACCTCAAATCAATTTGGGAGAGACCAAATCCCACCAAAATTCTATATCCATATGCCTAAAGCAGACATGGTTGAACTTTAAGCCTTCTCTCTAGATTCATGAGTTCATCACCCAAGCTACACCAAATCCCACCAAAACCACCAGATACTTCCCATAATACACCACAAACTTTTGTTTCTCTTTTCAGGAATCCCACACAACATCCTGTTGATGAATCACTGCCAGGGAAAATTGATAAACCTATAGTTTTCTATGAAGGAGAGCCGGCTTTCTACTTCACCAAGGAAGAAATACAACAATCAAGTCAATCATTGCAATATGCATTAATTGGCAAGTGCTCTTATGGTAGACCCTCTCTTGGTGTCATCAAAGAAGTGATACGATCGAAATGGAGTTTGAAAGGTGCTTTTGAAGTAGGTTCAATTGACCAACGACATGTGCTACTAAGGTTTGAGTTGCAAGAAGATTATGTGAAGACATGGCTCAAAGATGCAACTCTGATAGAAGACTACCTCTTTAGATTCTTTAAATGGTTTTCAGGCTTTGTTCCGGGTATAGAGCCTTCAATTGTTCCTCTGTGGATATCATTGCCTAGGTTACCTTAGAATTTCTTTAAGAAACCTTACTTAGAGCTTTTGGTGAAGCCCATTGGAAGAGTCTTGGCATATGACCAGGCCACACTTTCACTGTCAAGGCCAAGAATAGCTAGGGTATGTGTAGAGGTCAATCTATTGCATAATAACCCAAACCGAATTTGGATTGACATAGGAGAAGAAGGGGCTCGTTGGCAAAGAATAATCTATGAGAGATGCAAGAAATTCTACAAAACCTGCAACAAGCAAGGCCATGTCGATGAAGAATGCAAAAAAAGGAAAGTTGCACCACACAAGGAAGTTGTGCAAGGTAAGAATCTAGGCTTGGAAAGAGATGGTAAGGGTAAGGCAAGTAACGAGCAAAATAAGAGGAAGGATATTTAGCATACTCAAAGTTTGGAAAATACTCAAAAGGTAATTCTAGGTCACGTTTCATTCAAAACTCAACTAAAGCTAGCATATGCAACTCATCAACCAAGGGGAATTTGGAAACAACATCTAATGCCTGGGCAATTCAATAATGCAGAAAAGGATATAGCAGCAAATTCTGAGAGATTAGCAAATATAGTCCACAAGATACGGGAAGTGGAGCAAGAAGAGTCAATTAGAATCCTTGAAAAAGGGGATCATTCGGGAAAAATATTCTATCTAAGGTAATTGTGCAGGCCAAAGATTCAGAGAATCCACCATTGTCTAAGTCAGATTTGATACTGGAAAAAGAGGATCATGAACAAAACCTTATGAACACAAACCAGCACTCAGAAATCCACGAACAGCAGATTGTAAATGAAATCAATCCCACTGATCAAGAATTAACGAAAAATCAAGTTACATATGGCTATGAATCTGCTGCATATAAGTTGGTTAATTTAAATGATGAGGAGGATGAGAATGTATTTTCTATTTCTTCTGAAGATGTCTTGGACGATGGGATAAATGAGTCCTCATCCTTGTTGGATTATGCTCACTATAAACAAGATTTTGAATCCTTAACAGTGGAGGCCGGAGAGAAATCAAAGTTCATTACTCCGAAAATGATGGCAACAGTCCATAAAAATATTCATAGTCAAGGAGAGATAATTCCAAGCATGTCAGGGGAGGAGATTCAAAAGACCTTGAAGCTAAGAGGAGTTTATTCGAATGATGACTATATTAAGAGGTCCTCTCTTCATGAGCAATCTAGGGGTTTTTACTCTGATGGAGAGGAGGCACCAGTAGTTCGAGAAAATGATTTCAATTCTTTTATGTCATCTTCTAAAAGGTTACTGTCAATATACAATAAGGTTGAGATGCAGAAGAAGATAAAAGAGGAGGAGTTGTCTGCTTTGACTATGACACTTGATAAAGTCAAACCTGTAATTATGACGAGATCAAGAACGTTCAAGTTGCCAAAGCCAAAGAAATCCTATGGATTTAGATATTATTAATTTTTTAGGGAATGGTTCGACTTAATGAGGATTCCTGTAGCCACTACTATTCCAACATTCTGTCTTTTAGCATTCTTATTATTCTGTCTTTCAGCTGGGTTATTCGAAAAAAGCAGCAGATTAATGTTCAGCTACCCAGTACCGTTCACGATACTGTTTATCTAATTTTCTGATGGACTGTCAGCTAGCTCATACCCTCTGGATTCTTCGTTGATTGTAAAATACAACGTGTGCAGTCATTGTTAAGACTTTATTTTGCATTTAAAGTTCTTTTATTATGTAAAGGGAAAGGTTTATGTCCTCTTCTCTCTTTATAATTTTGTTATTAATAAAATTTGTCCTAAATGAGTTTAACTGAAAAAAAAAAAAAAAAAAAAAGTCCCCTCCATCAATATAAAATTTTAAATTCAACACATTAAAAATGCATGAACAAAATCAAAATAAAAAAAAATATAAAAAAAGGTTCAGATTCACCAAATTAAAACATGCACGAATCAGATCCCAAAAAAAAAAAAGAGAAGAGAATAGGCAAAAAGATACAAAAATTAAATAGAAAAAAAAATCAAAGTTTCAATTTAACATTTGAATCCATACTTCATCTGAATTATATATGATTCATAAATGACTCGAATCTAATATGACACAATTCGTTAGACACGAATTTATAAATGTATCGAGTATGAGTGAAATATTTTTTGACACAAACCCGCCTCACTCGACACGATTAATATGCCTAATTCTGCCTACTCAATGCAATTTTTGGCGGAGGAAGATTAATACAGACACCGGTTGTTTCTTCTGAAACGCTTCAGCTGAATCCCTTGGTCATATTTTCTTTAAAGGTCCTTTTGTTATATGTTTGATAATTTGCAAGAATTAATTTACCCCATGAGTCCAATTCTTTTAAGGAAGTCATGGATGCTAGATATCTCTGAACAAGTGCAACCTAAGCAGCTCTGTTTTGTGATTATCACCTTATTGGCGATATGGTTTAATAGAAATAGAGCACATGTTGGTGAAATCCCCGTTCCCCTGCTCAGATAGTCGACTTGGCACATACATATCTCAACTAATATTTGTCAAGTCTGGTGTCCTACATAGATGCACAACAAATTATATCTATAGCTGATACAAGTAAGTGTTGAAAATAAACTTTGATGGAACAATGTTTAGTGAAAGTGGCTGTTCGGGAATCAGAGTTTTTCTTAGAGATTGGAGTGGAAATTGATCCATATGAGATAGCTCAGCAAAGACAAAGACGAACTGTAAATTTAGATGTCTTGAGTTCGAAACTTGACAATTCTTTTATGGTCAAACTATGACTGAGTCATATCCCTCATAAATTATTTAGTACTCACGTGAATGATATGTCTTTAATCGAATTGGGAAAAAGATTAATAAAGGTGTGCGTAAACTGACTTAGACATTCTTGATCACAATACCCAAAAAAAAAATTGGAGTGGAATTTTATCATGTGCCACTATCAGAAACTTAAGGGCTTATGCCTAGCTGATCATATTGAGGTGTTAAAGCATCTCCAATAGTATTCCTTTTATTTTTTTTGGAAATAGAGAATATCTTTGATAAAATTTTGAAATAGAGAGCAAAATATTTTAGACAACTTCAATAACCTCTTTATTCTAGTATAAAAATAGTTGTATAGTTAATAGTATGTAATGAAAGATGTACATGTATCATCTTTTCATTCAATAAAAATAGAAAAGAAAGAAAGTTGGACTCTCTAAATGTATAAAGCAAAATAAGACTATCTATTTTAACTAGTCCGAATAGATAATCTATTGAAGTTTGATTTTTGAGTGGAAGCCAANTAAGACTATCTATTTTAACTAGTCCGAATAGATAATCTATTGAAGTTTGATTTTTGAGTGGAAGCCAAATGCTTGTTACATCCGTAATATATATTTATTTTGATGGAACCACTAATTTTTTTGGAACCACTAATTCAATCATCCAAATTTATTGAGTAAATGTTTTGATAGACTTTTTTTTGGTAAACACGCCATTTCTCTGTAGTATCCATTAGCATGATATCAGTCTCAACCGGGATCCTATGTATAGGGTCTAATTATAGCATCAAANCATTTCTCTGTAGTATCCATTAGCATGATATCAGTCTCAACCGGGATCCTATGTATAGGGTCTAATTATAGCATCAAAAAATAATTTTCTAGTATGATATTTTTTTTTGTTTAGTTAAAATATTTTATTTTATTATTTTTATAAATTAATCAACTCAAAATCTATTCAAAAATCAATTTTAATGAGGTATCGATTTTTTATTTATTTCAATACCGTAACCCTCTTCGTTAGTAAATTCGCAAGTTATGGGGGGTATTGTTGAAATTATGAGGGGTTGTGGTATAATTTACCCTTTCTTATTTTCCCAACCAAAAGACTGTTTACTTCACCGTTTTTTGGGACTTGATTTGTTTCACAGATCACAAACACACAGAGGTTGAAGCTACGCTACAAACCTAGAGGATGATCGGAGTAGGGAAGATCAAGCAGTACACTAACGTCCTCGACAAACCCCTTAGCAAGGGCAAGCAAGAGGTAGTCACACAAACACACACACAAAAACTAGATTTCTACAATTTTAGGTCGTTATATCTNCCTCGACAAACCCCTTAGCAAGGGCAAGCAAGAGGTAGTCACACAAACACACACACAAAAACTAGATTTCTACAATTTTAGGTCGTTATATCTTGATCATACAACAGGTTATTTAATTTCTGAGATCTCGCTCTAGGACTCATGTTGCATACCCTCATACTGCGGTTGGTTGCTGAGAAATCTGTGAAGAAAAAGGGAAAGAAAATGACTTCTTCCAATTTTTGTTTCACTTGTTGAAATGGGTTCTTAGTGGATTCATGAAAACTTAATCGAACTCAGCTGACTTGTGATGCTGTTTGGACCGACTGGGTTTAGGTTCAAGTTTTATTCATGAGCAGATAATGAGAAATATAATTAGAATGTTTTATTCTTTTTCTACTTGGACAATAAATGGAGGGCTTTGATGCTGCGTTTGGCAACATGACATTGGAATGGAATGGAAGAACATGAGTCAATTTTTTTGTCCTACTTGGAATCCAATTTCATTTCCACGGTCCAAACTTTTGGTGCTTCCGAATGTAGCTTAGATGTAATTGGGTTGCAATTTTGCTAAATTGCTTGGTGTTTTGCTGCAGGTCAGTTTGAGTGCATTTGCATTCTTATTTTCAGAGCTTGTTCAATACAATCAGACCCAAGTTGACAACATTGGTGAATTAGAACGAAGGTGATCACTAAATGAATCAATTTTCACTGTGCCTGGTATAACAAGTTTCTGCTTTATTCAAAATATATATGCCCAAACTGAGACCAAAATGATGCCATTTTCATTTCAATAGTTCATAGGAATATTTAAGGGAGGCTTTTTGCATAACTGATTAATATCTTGGTGGGATTGGATCATTCAAAGTCAAAAACCTAGTCTTTTCAGATGGACATTAACTGTGGTTTATCTATTTGATGGATAGTATTTTGGATAAATAGCTATATCCAAGGTCTGATTCTAAGAATTAGAAAGTGGAAACGTTGTGGATTTTTCATAAAAAGTGATCTAGGAGTTTTAAACCCAACTTAAGTGTAGTTATAATGTCTTAAGGATATTAGGTGATTGATTTATATGTAATTTTTAACATAATGCTCTTATGTGTCAAATGGGGCAGGTTGGAGGATGCAGGATATGCTGTTGGGGCACGTGTTTTGGAACTTCTTTGCCATAGGGAAAAGGTATGAGCTTTTACTCATAGTCTATATCGAAAGTGTTCTTGGTAAATCAGTTTAGTACTTGTGATCTGTACAATGACTGATGTTCAAGTTCAAATACATTTAATTTTGTAACCATCTAAGTTTATCACTGATGATTGGTCTTTTCCATCACCTGTTAGAAACTAGTCAATCCACTAACCTTTTAGCTTATTTGTTTTCATTGTTGTGGGCATGTATGATTGTTTTCCTTTTCTTTATTCACGGGGGTGGGGGGGACCATACCTTGGTTTAATTTGGACATTTTTGGGTTTTGAGAACTTCACATTGGAGATAAAATTCAGCTCGAGAAAGAAATTCTGTGAGTCACGATTTTGTTCTCTTTGGAGCTTGAGGTTGGAGTTCTGAAATTCTTTGAATTTTTGAGCGGCAGTTTGTGATTTTTATTTTCTCTTAAGTTGTGTTTTCAGTGATCTTTTAGTCATTCGAAAATGCTTTAGACTTCAGACTTCACTCTGACAATTTATAGTTGAAGCTGTATTACTTCTACTTATCATGTAGGGGATGGGAACACAGTATTTGTGCTTACTCAGTAAGTGCTGGCTTTACGTTTTCTCTTTTGAACTTGTCATTGTCAACAAACTTGTTGGCAATATGCCAATATGGTTGCTTCTTAAGGCTTGAAAAGGTGATGGAACAATTTTATGTTGAAAATGTATATTCGTGCATTTTTTCAACATTGGCTTTGAAGTTCTAGGACCATATGCCAACTACATTACTTGCCAAGTATCAAATGTTTTTTGCCTGCGTACCAATATATTTGTGGCTAGGAGTTGTGGTAGCGCAACACAACATCCACTTTGCAGAGACTATTAGGCTTTGATTGTAATTTGT